CTTTTGAGCATAAAAATTAAAGTATGCTGAGACCTACTTTTGGTTTTTGACTTATTTTAAGTCATTCTAAACTTATTTTAAGTAATTTTTGTTCTTGTCAAGCACTTCCTCACTAATTTTATTTCGTTTATTAGATAATTAAATTTATTTTTTTATATTTGACAAACACTTCCAAATGTTTAAAACTGACTTGAATGTAGGTTTAATCAGCTTTTAATTCAATTCAAACACCCTTTTAGACACTAATGCCTACTCAATAAATAACATATAAACTATATAATTGATGATATATTCCTGGTGAGGCTTGTTTACATTATTTTAAAGATGTAGATAGGTGCATAAATCACTTAGGAAAAGTGCTCATTTCCAATGAGGCATCCATGCGGGGAGCCACAGCAACTGCATGTTGTACTCTCGGAACCTGAGGTGCTGGTGCAGAAAACACTGGAGGTGTCTGGCCTTGATCAGATAACCCGCTAAGATAAGCAAGAACCTGGTTAATCATCTCTGGGGTAAGTTGGGGTGGGAATTCCTCATCTTGTGCTTGCTCATTCTCCCCTTCCTCACCCTCTCATACTACTTCCTCAGACGGTGGAGGAGTCACCGCCCTAGTACTAGCTGGTCCAGGTGCTTGTCCTCTTATTCTAAAGGACGTCCTCCCGCGACCTCTACCACGGCCTCTTGCCACTTTTCCTCTTCGAGCTACAGCCCCAGTGGCTGGCTCAGACGCACCCTGTCTTGCCGGTGTTGATGTTGGCGCAGTCGGTTCTCTAGTTCTAACCATCTGCGAAATAGAGTGAAGATGGTCAGATACCAATTTGTATCACCCAGATACCAATTGGATCCAAGTAATAGCACGAAAGAAAGAAAGAATGGAGTTTTCCTAAAGTCCTATAGCCTCTCAAAGAAAAGTAAAGGCGTCCCCCTACCGTTCCTCAAGACTCTACTAGACTCATTCTTGTGTGATGAGACCAACGAACCTAATGCTCTGATACCAAGTTTGTCTCGACCCAAAATGAGCCGCGAGTGGCACCCACACTTATCCTCCTATGTGAGCGAACCAACAAATCTAAATCCCAACATTTCAGCCATAATAAACAGAATATAATGCGGAAGACTTAAAACTCATTAACGAAAACAATTAATAACGTCTAAAATTTATCAATTACTATCCCCAAAATCTGGAAGTCATCACACCAAGAACATCTATCCTCAAATTCTAAGTCTAAGAGTATTTAAGAAACTAAAACAAGTAAAAGAATGTCCCTGTCCGAACTTCAAGACATCAAGACGTGAAGGAGAGAATCCAGCACAAGCTAGGAACAGTAGCTCACCCTGAATTCTGATCTGCTGGAGACTGGCTAGAGTTGCGGACGAGTCGAAGTCGATGGTACGTTTGCTGCACTCCACAATTAACAAAGAGAAACATACAAGTAGGGGTCAGTACAAGGCACAAGTACTGAGTAGGTATCGTCGGCCAACTCAAAATAGAAAGAAATATATATCGAATAATAACATAAAATCAACCATAATACTTAACAAGTGACAACAACAAGTACAAGAATCATTGATAACAACCACAAACGCACCCATGAGGTCTCAAGCCTCCACACCATACTCATTTAGGAAATAGGTTCTTTGAATTTAATTACATTTACATAATTCCAGATTCAATCCCTTTACTCCTCTTGTGTCGGAACGTGACACTCCGATCCCCTAATACTACGTGTCGGTTCGTGACACCCGATCCCCTAATACTACGTGTCGGTTCGTGACACCCGATCCCCTAATACTACGTGTCGGTTCGTGACACCCGATCCCCTAATTCTACGTGTCGTTTTGTGACACCTGATCCCCTAATTATACGTGTCGGTTCATGACACCCGATCCATTAACCTAATTCTTTTAGTTCATCAAGCCTTCTTTTATATCAAGACATCATCATTAATAGAGTGGATTTAAGGTTTTTAAGATTCCACAGTATCATCATTATAATACATCACCATTTACATAATCACAACATGCAACAACACAATTAAGTATATAGAAGACGTTACAATACCACCCAACACATATCAATCGCTATTTAGAGTTTACTACGAATAGCATAAACCATAACCTACCTCCACCGAAGAATTGTGATCAAGCAAGCTACTTCTCAAAGCCTCTGCTTTCCTCTTCGCTTCTCTCTGTTTCTCGCTCGTTCTCCCCTCTCTTCTTTCTCATTTTCTTTTTACCCTAATTATCATATAATCAAGTATCAAAGAGATAAAAGTAACCCATTATTTATTTTAAGGTTACCTCCTTTAACCCCCAAGTAAATAAGTTATTAAACTTACCCACTAATTTCATACAGTTTGTCATATATAGTCCAAAACACCCCTTTAAAACTTTAGCAGAAATCCGACCCAGTCAAGGTTACGCAGCTCGTGACGGTCCGTCGTGCCTGCGACGGTCTGTCCTACAGGGTCATCACAGAGTTCGGAGAGTCGAATTCATTAAAGAGCTCTATGACGGTCCGTCGTGCCTACGAAAGTCCGTGCTGCTTTTCCGTTGCGAAGTTCAGAGAGTTGATTCCCCGTACCCAAATTTTAGAGTTTAAGTGTTTTGGCACGACGACCCTCGACGGTCCGTCGTGACCATGACGGTCCGTCGTGGGATCCGTCGACATTGTCAGTTATTAAAAAAAGTAATTCTACCTGCTCAAAATGACTAAATAGGTCGTTACATAAAACCTCATATAGATTGATAATTCATTACTAACAACAAGTGACTTCATTAAAAAGACAACAAATGTTCATGATAGAAGACTCAATCTCTAGTTAAATCTTTTCTAAGCATAGCTTCAATTTTATTAACTCCAATTATAAATTCCATGATACTCCTGACTTCAATATTCCTCCTCATCTTCCGGATCAAGGGCAACATTTAAATCAAATTTCATATGCTCCTTCAAAATAGAATTTAGTGTTTCTTTTTTAATATTCCCTACCCGCAACTTCAATGCCAACTTCTGCTCCTCCATATGTTTATCTTGAGGTATTTCTGATCCAGGGTGCAGAATCTTATGCATTAGTACTCGTTTTTTTTCTTTCTCGTTACAAGTTTGCAATTCTTTATGAAGATCTTTCAATTCCTCAAAACCTTTGATTCACCCTCAGCATAATGACGCCGGGGGTCCGCCACTTTCATTTTGAGAAAATTTTCAATTATATCTTCTACGCTTGTGGAACCACAGGAATATGGTTTTCCACCTGGTGAAAAGAGCATCACAGCAACATCTGCACCGGTTTGAGTTGCAAACTTCTTTGCATCCTCAAACAAAGTTTTTTTTCTTTTTGAGAAACTCACAGCACGTGCTCTCTCAGACTCGATAAGCTTCATTTCAATTTTTTTCTTACCTTTTTTAGTCTCATTTTCCATACCAAAAGAAAATGATATGAAGAAGACAGTAATATATTTCTATTGAATAAGGCTGAGCAATTTCAAGAGAAACACTTGTAAAATTTATAGTAGATGTGTGAGTGTACTTCTCACGAGTATTGCAATGCTTTCTTTTAATGATTCTAGCTATCACGTGTATTGTAATGTTTACTTAATACTTTCATATTACGAGTGTATCTGTTTATTTAATGCTTTCACATTATATGGGTCTTTCTATGATGTTTGCTTTCAAGTGTGTTTTTAGATTTGTTTAATGTATTCATAATATGGGTCTACTATCACATTCATATTATGAGTCTATATTTTCATATTATGTGATTCTATTACAAGGTTACCTTGTAACTAAATAAAAAATTATAAAGTTGCAAGGTAATAATGTCTAATTGAATTTAAAGGCAAATAAAAAAGAAACAATGCTTGTGTGTGCGTGGGTGTAATTATATATACACGTACATATACACATCATATTTTCAAGTTGTCGATGTTTTACATTGTCATTTGGTGATGAAGGATACGCTTATATGCTAGTATCATTCACACAAGCATAAGACATATACAAAAATGATAAAATTATTACAGAATACATTTCAAATATGTATACATGCACAGATCAAAGTAATTTGTGTTGCTTCTACTTACCATTGAATCTTATCCCATAGATTGTATATCGTCTTCTCAATGTTTTGAACTCAATCAATTTATAAATCTTAAAATATTTAGCAACTGACGTTCCTAATTTTCTCCTTGCTCGTACAATTACTTGCTATACCACAAAGCCACTTTTACTATTTGTCATTTTAGAACAAATATATGATGTGGTTCACGTATTTTTCCTCTGTGAAAAATTAACGGTAAGTTTAAATATGAAGAAATTTTATAAAGGCAAAAAAGATTATCTATTACATTGACAAACCTTGGTATAATAAATCTTAAAATAAATATAACTTTACATACTTCAAAATGTTAATAGATATATGTGGCTAATTTTTTTATGTATACGTCAAAAACAAATAGTAAATATTATAATTACTTCATCATAGTATGTGTAGGAGTGCACTCGCCGACTTTCCATAAATTCACCATTTTGAGAAGAAAAAAACTGAAAGTTCATGTTTTTTAAAAAAAAGATTATACAATTCTATTTCAATTTTTATGCTAAAACTAAAATTCATTTATCCGTATGTACATCATCAAATATTTTAACGTCTTTATTTGAATGACTTAGCGCCCGTTTGTATTGACTTACAAGTAGTTTTTAATTCAATAATAAAAAGTCAATTTGAAATAACTTTTAAGCCAAAAAATAAAAGTATGGTGGGACCTACTTTTGGTTTTTAACTTATTTTAAGTAATTTTTGTTCTTGTCAAGCACTTCCTCACTAATTTTATTTCATTTAGATAATTAAAGTTATTTTTTATATATTTGACAAACACTTCCAAATGTTTAAAACTGACTTAAGTGTAGGTTTAATCAACTTTTAATTCAATTCAAACACCCTTTTAGACACTAATGCCTACTCAATAAATAACATATAAACTATATAATTGATGATATATTCCTGTTAAGGCTTGTTTACATTATTTTAAAGATGTACATAGGTGCATAAATCATGTGCAAGATCAGTTATCCAAAAGTAATATCATCTTAACATTTAAAACAGAAAATTACTTAATTATTTCTGATATTTCATCAAACACTTTACTAGTGTAAGAAGTTCTTCCTTCACAGGAACTACCACCTCTCTATTGGCTTGGGACGTCACGGCTTGAGCCAACACTTAAAAATTCAATCTAAACTCCGCATTTGTAACTTGTTCGGCCAAGGGATCGACCAAAGAATGAGGAGGAGCTTCATGTTCCAAATTCTTCCTCACATTCTTTTTAGAGTAAGCCCTTCGAGTAGACTTATCTTGAAGAGCATAAGCTAAGTATTAGGAGAGAGAATTTACAGAGTCAAACTCTATATCATGACTTTAGAGTAATGAAAGAAGTGAAGTTTCCTAATAATCTTGAAGCCTCTCATCATAAATGTGGCTCTCTTCACACTCATGAACAAGACTCTACTAGACGCGGCTTATGAGACATATTATGACCGTTCTAAACCTTATGCTCTGATTACCAAGTTTGTCACGACCCAGGGCAACACCCTAGATGTAACATGGAGTATAGAACCCCGAAGGACTCCATACAAGCCACTTAGCTTTCACAACTTAAGAAATAGAACAATAAAGAGTAAACAATCATCTTAAGTCCAAAATATTTTTTTAGAAAAGCGGGGAGTCTAACAATATGTCACAACATAGACATCTATTACAATCCAACGAAATTAGGCGTAGCCAATATATCCTGTCCAAAACAAAAAATAAAAACAAAAGAGAAACTAAAACGAAAGTAATTAGTCCTCGCATTATAAGTACTCACCAAGCTCGGGAAAGAATCAAAGTCCAAGATCTTGCCACTAAAATGGGAATCCTGTCTATCGGACCCTACATTTGGAGAAAATGTAGGGAAAAGTATGTGTTGGTAAAAAATGCACTAAGTATGATAGTTATGCATTAAAACATTTAAAATATGCTAAAAGAGACATTTCATTCCATAACATGCAATTGACTAAGTAAAACATAACATAAAAAAGTAAATATAACACAAGTCATAATATCATGGTCAATGCAAGCTAAATAAAACTTTAAACACATATGAGATATTTATTCTGTAACCTTAGTTCACTATAATCTTGTTGTGGAAAATTATCCTTAATCAACTTAGAGACGATGGGAACTATAACATCATCACCTGATGTCCCCCAAACCAAAAAGAATTGTTCTACTTGCCTAAGGTAAAAGCAAGAACTTCTAGCAGCTTAAGTGGATGAACTAGCTAATCATCCTATTAGGGCACTTAATTTATGAAATGAGGATATTGATATTAGAAACCGGAGTACACTAACGGGGGAGCTTCCATCTAATGAGACTTCTTCTATAAACCCGACCTCTATTAACGGGAGAGCTCCTATTTCAATGTCAATATCCACTTGGTGTGTTAACCATAACTTCCTTGGACCAATATTTTCTTACTTATATATACTCGTTATCCTAAGAATCCTTTCTATGTATATCATGCTAGTGTGTGTTTATGAGGATAGTCTTTCACAACATAAAATAAAACATCATTATTTGACACTTAACTCTCAAATCACCCTTTAACATTCGCATAGGTTTCATAAGATCAGGCATAAACTCATACTTTGCCCATTCAAGATTCAAAGTTTTCAAGATTCAAAGTTTACTTTCAATCACAAATTCTAGAAATCATGGTTTAGATAGGGATTTTTTCAGAAATTCATGTAATTATATTACTTCATTCTTTGGATCATAAAATTCCAATTTCATAATCAACAACTCACATCATATGACATGGGGGCTTGCATGGGTTCATAAGTAAAACATCAAAAAAGCATTGTAAATCACCAATTCATGAATATGTAAACATAATTCAATCATTAAGATAAATATTGAAAAGAATCCTTGGCGATTGAAGAAAACCCTACCTAACTAGGGAATTCTACCTTTAGGAATAGAGGGATTTGGGGACTCCATGAAGGTATGAGATTTCATGGATGAAACCTACCATACCACAAGTCCAATTGCTTCTCTTCAATGGAGTAATTCATATTTTAGATTGAAACCCTATGTTGAATCATTTTCTTCTTCTTCAAGCTTTCAAGAGAGAGAATATTTCGGAGGAGATTTGATTTCTTTAGTGAAAGTTGGAAGAATGAATTAAATATGGTGAATTTAATGTAAAAAGGCTTATATAGGGGTTCTAAATATAGGCAAAATGATATGGCATAGGAATTAATTAATTAATTAGGAAAAGATCTAACTGCCCCTAAAAATAACTGTCAAACAGTGACCCACACGACACCACTATCACGGATCGCGGATGGACCTACGGTCTGTCCAGCACATTTGTAGTTAGGTGGTCTAGGAACTGATCTTTGGGGGTCAAAACCACGGATTGTGGACCTCTATGGTCCGTAGGTCTAGTCGTGGTCCTAAGCCTGGACAACTTTTTGAATGGCCAATCACGAACCCTACTTACGGTACGTGGATAAACCTAAGGACCATCAGTGGTCCTTATGGATGGCAACGGTAGGTTTTGGATTGATTCTCACTTGTATTGGTTGGAATTGCCAAGTGTCATCATGAGTGTTTTTGAGTCGTGAAATAATCAAAGTCCAAGATCTTGCCACTAAAATGGGAACCCTGTCTATCGAACCCAACATTTGGAGAAAATGTAGGGAAAAGTATGTGTTAGTAAAAAAATGCACTAAGTATGATAGTTATGTATTAAAACATTTAATATATGCTAAAAGATACATTTCATTCCATAACATGCAATTGACTATGTAAAACATAATATAAAAAGGTAAAGATAACATAAGTCATAATATCATGGTCAATGTAAGCTAAATAACACTTTAAACACATATGAGATATTTCTTCTGTAACCTTAGTTCACTATAATCTTGTTGTGGAAAATTATCCTTAATCAACTTAGAGACCATGGGAACTATAACATCATCACCTGATGTCCCCCAAACCAAAAAGAATTGTTCTACTTGCCTAATGTAAAAGCAAGAACTTTTAGCAGCGTAAGTGGATGAACTAGCTAATCATCCTATGAGGGCACTTAATTTATGAAATGAGGATATTGATACTAGAAACCGGAGTATACTGACGGGAGATCTTCCATCTCATGGGACTTCTTCTAGAAACCTGACCTCTTTTAACGGAGAGCTCCTATTTCAATGTCAATATCCACTTGGTGTGTTAACCATAACTTCCATGGAACAATATTTTCTTACATATATATACTCGTTATCCTAAGAATATTTTCTATGTACATCATGCTAGTGTGTGTTTATGAGAGTAGTCTTTCACAACACAACATAAAACATTATCATTTGACACTTTACTCTCAAATCACCCTTTAACATTTGCATAGGTTTCAGAAGATCATGCATAAACTCATACTTTGCCCATTCAAGATTCAAAGTTTACTTTCAATCACAAAATATAGAAATCATGGTTTAGATAGAAATTTTATCAAAAATTCATGTAATTATATTACTTCATGCTTTGGATCATAAAATTACTCTTTCATAATCAACAACCCACATCATATGATCACAATTTGGGAAAACATGGGGGTTTGCATGGGTTCATAGGGAAAACATCATAAAAGCATTGTAAATCATCAATTCATGCATATTTAAACATAATTCAATCATTAACATAAATAATCAACAGAATCCATGGCGATTGAAGAAAACCCTAGCTAATTGGGGAATTCTACCTTTTGGAATAGAGGAATTTGAGGACTTCATGAATGTAAGAGATTTCATGGATGAAAGCGACCATACCTCAAGTCCAATTGCTTATTTCAATGGAGTAATTGAAATCTTAGCTTGAAACCCTATGTTGAATCATTTTCTTCTTATTCAAGCTTTCTAGAGAGAGAATATTTTGGAGGAGATTTAATTTCTTTTGTGGGAGTTGGAAAAATGAATTAAATGGGGTGAATTTGGGGTAAAAAGGCTTATATAGGGGTTCTAAATATAGGCAAAACGATATAGTGTAGGAATTAATTAATTAATTAATTAGGAAAAGATCTAACTGTCCCTAAAAATAACTGTCAAACAGAGACCCACGACACCACTATCACGGACCGTGATGGACCTACGGTCTGTCCTGCACATCCGTGGTTAGGTGGTTTGGGACCTGATCTTTGGGGGTACGAACCATGGCCCCTGGACCAGGTCTGTGGACCCCTACGGTTCATAGGTCCAGTCGTGGTCCTAAGTCTGGACAACTTTTTGAGTGGCCAATCCACGAATCCCACCTACGGTATGTGGGTAAACCTACGGACCATCTGTGGTCCTTGTGGATGGCATCGGTAGGTTTTGAATGTTAGTTCATTATCCTTTTCTGAATACCGGGTGTTACACCCTCTTTTTAAAATGTCTTTTAAGTCTAATTATTTTTCATAGTTAATTCAAATATCATAAAGATATTTTAATAATTAAGTGACAAACCTCTTATTTATACATTTAAAAAGCTTCGTGGAAATATCGAAATTCTTTAATAGTGCATTTATTTTCCCAGTAAAAGTGCATATATTATTATATTACATATATAAAACTATACTATTTTCTTAAAGACATAGTTGATGGAACATGTGATTAGTGTATGTCACATAGTTTTTTAGGAAACCCCGACAAAATTTAAACCAATACAAGATTGAGTTAATTAATTTGACTTGATTTCAATATTATAAAAATTAATTTAATTAATTGATCCGATTATCTTTTTAAAAAAATCACTTCAAACCAAATCAACAAATTAAAACAAGGATAAAGGAGTACTATATCTATATTATTGAGTAACTTTCACGAATAGTAATAATAAAAAATATATTTGTATATTATAGTTATACTTTGTATAATTGTGCTTTATAGCAAACATATATATGTATTTCGCTATACATATAAAAATTGTTGTATAATTCGTTATACATATATAAATAAAGCAGTTTTATAATTTGCTATACATATTTAAAAAAACATTTGCATACATAAAATCAATTGTATAATCTGTGTACGTATAAAACAAGAAAAAGAGAAAGACAAAAGAAAACTAGGTAGGAAAATATTTGTATTGTATAATTATAAGTTTATAGGACGAAGATATATGTATTTGCATATGTATATACAATTTTCTCTCGCTTTATACAAACAAAAACACAATTTATATATTTCGTTTTTGTTTGTATAAGCGAGAGATGCGAGGGTGGCGAGCGAAATATGGGAGAGTGGTGAGAGAGATCTGGGAGAGGGAGAAGGGGAACATAATTATATACAATTTCCCCTTGCTTTATATAAGCACAAACTCATTTTATTCATTTGTATTTGTATAAAAGTGAGAGAGACGAGCGAGACTGCCACCAAACGAGAGTGGCGAGCGAGATTCCATCAGGAAAAGAGGCGAAAATAGCAATAATTTGATATAAGGTACAATTAAATTAAAATATATTTATAACATTTAATTTAAATTAATAGTTCGTTATTATATATAATTTTTCCAATATATTTTCGTGTGCCCTCTTTATTTATTTATTTTTATAGAAAGTGACAAAAAGTGATGAGATAAGTGGTGATGGTTTTGGGTCAACAAAGAATATAAAACGTAGCTAGTAAGTAAAGTAGGATTTTATTTGTGTAACTTTCCAAGTGGTGGCTCGATGTTGACATTCAACCAACCAATCTTGGACTTGGTCTACATAACATTTATAATAAAATTCTCAATTTTACTCTACTACTCCATATACTTACTTTAGAAAAATAAACAAAGTCAAATACATATCTACCCTTGTTTTCATGTGGTGTGGTCACATTTTTTTTCTTTAATTCTTTCTTCGTTTTGTTTATTCTTTTTAAAAAATGTTAAGTAGTTGATGTCTAATAGTCTCATGGAATTTCGTTGACCGGTGAACAGGGAAGGATTTTGACACATGAATTTTCTTTAAACATAAGTAATCTTTCATCTTTACAAAATTTAAGAAAGAAAGAAAAATAAACTATAAACTTTTGAGTTGTTAAAATTAAATTGTTACTATTTATTGTATTTTTAGAACGGACTAAAAAAAATCATTATTAGAAAAGAGAAAGTGCTTATTTAATTAAAGGGAATATATACAAGTTTATTTTTAGGGGAGGAGAGTTGATGAAATTAAGATATAATCAACATGCATGCAGGTGAAAGAAAAAAAAGGAAAATGAATATCATAATGAAAACAACAAAATTAACAATGAGAAAAAAAAACAGATTTTTTAAAAAAGACCATCTAATTAAAAGGCTTGTACAAGTGATTTCTCACATCTACTTTATTTTTTAAGGAAGAAAAAACAAACCTTTTCCCTATAATACAGTATGTAGATTATTTATTATTGATGATTAATCACATCCATAATCTTCAACACCAAACCTACTTGATCCAGAATTACTATAACCTGCATGAGTAGTAGTAGTACCATTCATGTCTTGGCTATTATTATAATATCCATATTTTGAAGCATCCCCTACTATTGATGAATTTTCTTGTGATCCAAAACTTAAGTTAATTGGACCCTTTTGGTTGTTGATTGGACAAGTGTGACAACCAGTATATTGTTGTACAACTGCTCGAAAATTCGATATGCTAGCATTGACAAGAGTAGTAGGTGTTTTCTTGGAAGCTCTTGATCTTCTTCTCACTGGTTTTGATGATGCACTTTTTGTATCACCACAAGAATTATCAGGACTTAAATTGGAATATTGATTATCATGAGGATAATTAGTAGTAGTCATGTTATTTGTTGTCATGATTGTTGAATGAGAGAAATTTTCATAAGGTGTATTAATTGGTTGCTCAAATTGTGTTTGTTGGTAATTATTGTATGGCATTTGGATATCATCCATCCATTGATATGTAGGAGATGTTGGGATACTCATATTGTTGTTCATGTTTGTTTGTTTTTTGGGGGGGAGTGTATGGTTTTGGTGGATATAAACTCTCTTTATATAAACTATAAAGCTAGTTAGCTCTTAGTATTTTTATTCACTAGTTTGTCAAAGAATTTATGTATTAATTAATAAATATTGGTTTGGCTTTAAGATATATATAATATAATATAGGACTTATTTAGTCAAAGGTATACATTTTTGTCTGGATATGTCCTTTTCAACTAAGACAATCTTGACTTTTGACTATTCAAATGTTGAGGTAAGAGGGTTCATATCAACCTTTCAACCCATCTACTTTCCTTTTACCAAAAATAAACTATTGGATAAGCTTAATTCTTTTTTCTTTTTTACCCCTCCATCAACCTTCTATCCTTTTTTTGGGTTTTTTTGGTAACTCAAAATTACAATTTTAAAAATAGAAGCGGAGAGTATTTATTAATTGAACAATTTTTTTATTTTTAAGAGTCTTAATTTGTTATCTTGATTAATATAGTTTTACGATATCTCTTTTTTTGTCATATTAATGTAATATAAATTTTATAAAATTAAAAATTTCTTCATTTTCAGAGATCAAGCTCGAAATCTCTAATTAATTGAACAGATAATCTTCGTCTCATCATCTTCCATACCAATTCTTTTAATCCATTACATCAATTTAATTCTTTCAAGATATTGTTTTTTTACTCTCTTTTTTTTTTTTTCTAACTTAGAGATACTATTTTTTTCTGCCATGTTGTCAACCTAAGAATGGAGAGAAGAAGGGGGTTAGGTTGCTTCTTGGAAATAACATGCACGCTACATGGCAGAAAGAGGGAATAGAATGCTTGAAAAGGAAGATAACTAGTCTAATTTTTTTTATGCCAAACAGAGACGCACACTCTATACTTAGTCTTAAAATTTTATTTTCACATTTAACACGATCTTATTTTATTTTTACCTTTCAACTTAGTTTTTATGTACCATTTTAAATTAAAAAAGAAAAACTTTACTCAAGTGTTAACCGTCTGTTAGACAAAAAAATAAAAGGATAAAAAAACATACGGTTCAATATGTCTTTTATTTTCTTCAAATTATTCAAATTTACTTGATATTTACATCACTATATCTATTTATCATCTTTAAGTAATATCAGAACAATATATATTAGTTCGGTCTATGTTAATCTCTAACTCAACTTTTTATGTACCATTTAAACATAAAAAGCTTTACTCAAGTGTTCGACGTATTAGACAAACATTAAAGGGGTAAAAATAAAAAAGTAACATACCATTAAAACAATACGTTATTTGTTTTCTCTGAGTCCTACAAAATTTACTTGACATTTACATTAATTGTATAAAACTATCATTTTATTAAGTAATTTAAGTAATACAAGATCAATATATGTTAAGTTTCATTTAACACTCCAACACAATGTTTTATGTGTCATTTGCACCTTGTTTGGTTGTTAACTGTTGTACTGTACTGTATTGTAGTGCACTGTATTGTAGATTAAATACAATGTTTGTTTTGATTTACTTAAATTTTATTGTATCATATCGTTTAAATTCAAAGTTAGGTATCGATGAAAAGTCTCATTTTATATAACAACTGATTTGGTGTGATTCCGTCTTTATCTTGATATTTAGTAATCATATCTCATCTTATATCCTATATTTTCATAGTAGCTCTACCTCATACCTTATTTTTCTTGTAGATTTTTCATTCAAATTATGAATGTGTGACATTATGTAACGATGAAGAATGATACAATATATCGAAACATTAATTTATTTAAAACAGTACAATATGATACGATACAATACAATATAATAACCATCCAAAAAAAAGTATCCAAGTGTTCAACTCATGCTAAACAAACATTAAAAAAAGATTATTTTTTTAAAAAAAAACATAAAATTAAATAGCGTCACATATTTTTTTTCTACCAAACCATCGGAGTTTACTTGTCATTTATGTTAAGTGCATCAATTTATCATTTTAA